TTTGGGCAAAAAATGCTCCTGCCGTTTAGGATGAGTATAAACAGCAGAAGAAGAGTCTGAGATAAAGGTCCGTGACCAAACACATCGTCTTTCAATACGTACCTTTTTACGTTTTATTTTCATCTTAGTTGTAGTCTTAGATTAGGTTAGTTGTAATGTTCTCTTGTATGTCTGTCTGGAGACTACACGTATATGAATTAAAATGAATACCACAGTGTATTTTTCACATTCTGTCGCTTACTTCATTTTGTTTCTTATTATATGTTTGTTGAATGAACGTGAACAACACATAGCTTTCTTCACTATGGTGAATATCACAATGTGTATGTATAGTCTGTACCTTTCTTCATTGTAGTTCCATTTGTAACTTTCTTCATTGTAGTTTCATTATATTTAATGATAATAACAAAAATGGATAAGTTTTTAAAAACAGTAAAACGAAAAGCATATTTGAGCAATGCCGCCCCATAAAATTCTGCGGCAACAATTAAAAGTGAATATATAACACTAGTATTTACTATTCACCAAGAAGCGGTTGGACGGTGCTGCATATAATATATATATATATAATTTAGTCTCTAAATCATTATTTATTAGTATATTATAATGAAATTTACTACGAATGTTTTCATTCAGATTTGGGCTCGTTTTAGCCTGATTAGAAGGCCCAAGTTGAAATATCATAAAGGCTTGAAATTGGGGAGCCATTTCTCTGGTCTTGGGTTGGACGGGTCAACTAACAATTTTTTTCAAACTCACTATTGGAAAAGGCCCGTAACTAAATGGCTTTGAAAATTTTTGACGGGTCATGGCCCCGAGTCCGTGTGATGATCCGCGGAGCCACACAAATAGGTTAAAGATGTTTTTTTCTTTTTCTTTTTTTTTTCAAGGCACAAATGTTAGAGGTTAGTGGTTAGAGGGGAAGGTTAGGGGTTAGTATGAGCTCATGTTTGAGTCTTATATCTCAGATACAGATTCCCAAATATGAAAAGTAATTCAACCACTCAAACAATATAGCACTTGCAAATTAAAGATGTCACCGAGTTTTTTTTTTTACTTTCGAAAAACTTGTTTCCATTGAATTTTGAGAAGCATGTGGGGAGGCCCATTTTTCATTAATTTTATGAAGAACCAATGCAAATGAAGTTTATTTTTGGTCCCTATGGTTATTTTATAATTTTTGTTACCATATTCAATTTTCTTGTTAAAAAATAAAAAATAAAATAAAATAAACTAACAGATAAATAAATAGGAAAAGATCATATTGTTTGATTATGTTCTCAATAAAATTGATAACAAAATATATATAAAAATAAGCGAAATCTAAATTTGTGTTTTGTGAATTACTTTTATGCTCCATTTGTTTGGATGTAAAATATTTTTTAAAAAAATAATTTTTTTAATTTTTTGTTGTTTAGTTGTCCTAAAATATTTACAAAGAAAAAAATATTAAAATTCAATAAAAATAATTTACTCATCAATTTTACTACGAAAGAATCGGAGTCTTAGCACACCTAATTTAAAATTGAAATATATAGAAGATACCTTTTTTTATTTTATTTTTTAACGCACTTCATTTGCAGCTGAACACTTTCCCGAAACTAAAAGTGATTAATTTGATAGGCTGGATTTGTAATTCTTTTTATCTATCAATATATATAACTTGAATCAATCAAATGAAACAATAAATAAAGCATTGGAAATACATGCATTTTATGTACTAGAAATACTTTAATACTTCCGTTATTTTGATGACATAGAGATCTTTCAATAAATTGAAGTATTTCTCTCAGTAAATAGTTCTGATTTGTTTCACTGTATAAGTTGAAATGAAGATATCTTTTACTTGCAAAGATAGAAAGAGAGGAGGGAAAAGAGGCCGCCAAAGAAAAAATAATGAATCTACTTATGAAAGGGAAATCAAATACTCCCTCCGTCTCATAAAAAGTGTCACTTTTAGAGAACCGTAACCCTCACAAATTAAATTGACATGGTTATCCATTAACAATAGTTTTTTTGGGACGAAGATAGTAGTATAAAAAAACTCCCGTGTATCTGTTGACACACAAAAATGCAGTCTAAGTGGCAGTTACTTCAGCATCGTGCACAAATGAAAGAGAGAAAAGCGGACCAAATTATGGTCCAAGTGAAATTTTCTAAAGGTAACTGAAAGCCAAACACTTGTGTGGGGCGGCAGATGATAAGTGTGCAATATTCCTGCAATTTCAATACAAGTTTGTTTCAATTCCTTTTCTTTCATGTACTTGTTCTTTAATTCAATAGTTAGCATTGTAGTCTTGTTAAAAGTTCTTTCATCGAAGGTAAATCAGAACCTTCCACAATTGCCAAATCATTTCAAAAGGGTCCTTTTGTCCGATTTTCCAGTGAGATTTTAATTGGTCACGCACAATGAATTTAAACACATCCGAACACACCCACAGATCAGTTCACTCCCATAAGCTCAGCCAATTGACAGACATTGTCAGACTACCCACATCCAAACACACCCAGGATAGGTCGGCCTCCCTCGGCAGCAATCCCCTCTGTCCTTGAAGAGGGAGGACTGTACGGGAGCATATATATAAAATGGGTCACAACCCATCAATCCGCCCATATTCATTCATTTTTTAATGGTTTTGGAAGAACCATATTTAAAGTGGGTTGGATAATTTTTAACCACTTAATTTAAAGGTCAAAATAAGTTGAATATAGGTAACCATATTCAACCCATATTTCACCCATCACATAATAGACATACAACACATATCTATTTAATATTGCACTCACCCCATTTCTCTCTCTCTCAAATTCTCTAACTCACGATCCTCTCTCTCTCTAAAATTTTCTCTCATCAATCCCCTCTCTCTCTCTCTCTCTCTCTCTCTCTCTCTCTAAGTTTCTCCCTTTAGAAATTTCTTCTCTTTCCTTTACTTTTCTATCGAAAACGAGTCGATAAATATTGCTGAGTTTGAGATTGTTTTTTTATTTATTTATATAAATATGTATGTGTATCTCTATATTTCTGTTATAAAAAATAATAATACATTATTATGATAGGAATGATGCACATGAACTTTCATTGTTTAACTTGAAAATTTTTTCTTTTTGACAAATTATGTCTTTACAAAATGCCAATCATTGGGACCTGTACATACATATATTTTGACAAAAAATAAAAAAAAAATAAAAAACTATGTAGGGCATGATCATATGCATATGGTCCCCGTCTGTTTGTATTTTGGCCATGTTCAATGGGTTGGACAGTGCATTTGCTTTCGACTTGGGCATTTTTATCATTTGCTTCTCTTCTACTTCAATACAAATTTTACCATATAAAAGAATATATATATATATATATATATAAAGGGTTCACTGTTTAACTTGAATTCATATGAGTTGAAGGTTATTTCATAAACTAATATAGAAGTACAATTTTTTTAAAAAAAAATATTGAAGAATATATATGTACTAAATGGATTTTGTAAACTTAATACTTACCTTCAACCCATAGCACTACAAAAAAATTTTCCCTAATTTTTAGTAAAACAAGATGGAACTAATAGTAAAATGTATTTTTTTTATTTTAAAAAATAAATAAAAGGATGAAAATGGGTCATTGAGTCTTACAGGTTGACCCAACCCATATTTGACCCATTGCAAAAGGGTTAAATATGGGTTACAATCCATTTTTAACGCGTTCATATTTGGTTATGTCCAAACCCGACCGAACTCGTTCGTTTGCCACCCCTATTCGCAACCATTGTTGCAAAATGCACTATCTTCATCTAGTATTAATTAATGATCAGCCAGTTCTATTACACAGCTTGTATCAAAACAAGTGCCACAACAGAGCATATTTGGAGTTTTAGAAGAAGCAAAGTTAAAGAACGAACTTAATTTGTCACTCTGAAGAACTCAGAGAATTGAACATTGATTTCAAGAAAAGTTTTATCTTTATTTAACTCAGTTTTTGGAAAGCAATTCTCAAAAACTATCTACCAATCATGTTTTTTATAATTTATAATTATTAATTAATAAATCAAACCCTAACATTTCATCTGAATTAGGATTGTTTTGAGTTGAGTGAATTAATAGTCGTTGGGAAATGGTTTGGTGAAATATGTGCCAATTGACTATGCTATGCAATGGAATAAATTTTTTTTTTATTTATTATTATTTGCCAGGCAATGGCTAGTAGGGCAGGGGAGAATCAAACCTAGAGTATCCAACCAACCAACCAACCAACCAACACCAACACATCTATGCAATGGAATAGTTGAGCATCCAAAATAGCCACACAAAAAAAATAAGGTACAGTAAGGGTCATTTCTGATAATGTCCAAAACTCTAAATGAAACAAGTCTGATGATGCTAGTGTCCCTATTACAAAGAAAACTTGCAAATCTAATCCATAATAGAGCCAGTCTAATCAAAATAATTGATAGTCTCCTGTTTGCATTTGAAATCCTATCTTCGCCCTAGATAGTGGTGTGGTAAAATGGATTTTGATGCTCATGCAAATTTGATTATTTTTCAAATTTTATTTGGTATCTTTGATGAAGTCATTGAAAGTGATTTTTGTAACCAAAAAAAGTTCACTTCACCTTGGATTGAATCAAAGGCTTTCTTGAAACCCTAAAAAGGATCCCTTGTAAGCATTCTAGAGAAGCGCAATGCAAGAAGGCCCAAAGGAGATTCTTACTCGATTCTCACCCGGCACAAAAACACCCCGACAACGAGTCATTTACGAGTGATTGCATGTATCAGAGCTTGCAAAAGAGTCCAAAATGATTAGAGAATGGGATGATTCTTCGTTACCAAAAATATAAACTAAACCAAACACAACAGCATAGCCACAGCGGAAGAATTCCCATCCTTGAAAATTTGCACTCTTGATACAAAGCAACTTCAGCAAGAGAACCTAGAATAGGGAAGAGCTCAGAAGTCCCTCCCTTTCCTCGTTGAAAAAAAAAATAAAAAATAAAAAAAATAGCAAATAATTTTGCAGAGATAAAATGAACTAATATGAGTGGAATTAGCATAGTCTCCAACAAGTTTAAAGATAAAGACCACCCGCAAAATGAATTCTATCTACTGTCATACAACTAATACATGTAGAATGCTCCAATAGAAAACTTAAAAACGAACATCAAATTCTCCACCCTATTCACTCATCTCAAAATGGCAACCATACCATACAGTCAGCCTCTCAGAAGAAGGCGAATGACGCAACCACAAAGGCTGAAACTAGAGACCCGAGAGAGACAACAAGTGCCGAAGAACCAGAGCCAGCGGTTGCAGGAGCTGGTGCCGGAGCTAACTCACCAGCCGCTGAGGTGGGCACACCAGCACCAGAGCCTGGAGGGAGAGCAACAGATGGAGAAGAAGCTGCAATTTCATATCACAATGTACAATTGCATTAGAACTAGTACGCTCAACAAGAATTTCATCAAGCATAATACATATATAAACAATCTGTCCGTATAAGGAGCAATTACACAAACCACATTTCACTCATACTAATCTTCCTCCTCGGATCAAACTGAACCTGAAAGTAAGTTTCCAATTCAAAATGACGGATAATAAACTCTCCCTTCTTTCTCTATTCATTTGTACTAAATTTCCTCATCCACATTCTAATGGCCACAAGAAAAAATTACGTTAAAAAAAGCGAAGAAAGCCAACATATGCGTTTGTGCACCTGTTGCTCGAAATGCAAGTAATTGGCCAATTAACCCTTACAAACGTACAACTTTGATGTTAAGCTACCCTGAGATTTTCTTTTATTTTTATGAGAACAAATCCAGCTACATCATAAACTGAAGATTACTGATATGGGAGTTGTGTAATCAAACCTTACGAAAATTAATGGAAAAAACAGATTTGCTACCAAAATTTGCCAAATAAATTGACATTGATCTTACTAAACTTTCTAATTACCAATTCAACCTTATTAGGTAACTAACTTGCTATAGAAAAACCACAACCACCATGGCTAATAAGCGTACATTGTCATTATAAAATTTTGCCATTATAAAATTTTAAATCTACATACAGTGATCTAAAAGGTACTAATGCAGCTTCTCTTGATAAAAGATTATCATGATCTTTTATGAGAAACTTGATTTTAGTCATTAATTTTACCCAATAAATGACTAAAATCACTTTGTTCCAATATAATCAGGTTGAAACAAAATTGTTAATTCGGTTACTAATTTGAATAACAAGAGCAATGGGTAATATATTCCCCAAAATTAAGGTTTCTCCTAGGTATTAAAATTTACTCATTGTCAGACTAAAAAGAAATTAGGACCCTGCAGCCCCTAAGAATCAACAAAATCCAAATAATCACATGCTCACTAAAATGACCTAAAACTTCTGATGTTACCAACATGCCACGCTACTCTTATCAGAACCCATGAACAAAGAACACATTTGTCCACTTAAAAGAAAAAAACCAAATCTTTACATATGCTTGGAATGAATGGATTTGACAAGAAAGGGTAGAAAGTTCATTTAAAAATTAAAGAATAAAGATTAGATTTAGCTGGATTCAAACCAAATTTTAAAATCCATAATGTAACGGTTGGTTTGACCATGATTATAATCCTAATTAAGAACCCATGCTTTTCTGGCCAATTTTAGCTTATAACCAAACAGAGACAAACAGAATGCAGGGCTCATCAACCACGGTGGCCCCCACATAATGTTTGTCTCTTCCCCTTGATTATAAGAAAAACTTGTGCTTTATCCCTAATTTTTTAATAACTTCCAAGTCAAAAGTTGTGAATAGATCTACTCTCTTCACTATCTAGTATTAGAAGGAAGGATAAAAAAAAGAAATTTATGTCCAAGTCTTTCATGCCCTTCCTGGAATTTGGTTCCAAACATAGCTTACAATTTACAATTTAGGTGTAAAAGAGTCCTGCTACAAATGACAACAGTCAAGTTCCCCGACTACTCACATAGGCATATGTGGGTCTCACAATATGGTGGGGTCCACACATGCCCATGTGAGTAGACAGGCAACCATCTGAAGTCCATTATATCTTTTTCTAGTGCCAAATGGGTGAAATAAAGTCAATATTTGCTTTCACCATTATTGTAAAGTGAGTTACCATTTATTGTAACCAACTTCATTCACTGGATTACCTAAAAAGTCGTCAATAGATTAATCTCACATCACCAGTCATAAACAGTATCAGATTTTAGTAAAACCGCAATCAACTAATGACTTGCATTACCTAAAAAGTTCCAAACAAAAGCAAAAAGGAGGAAATTGGAAAATAAAAAAAGGGATTACAAAAAGATGATAGGGTCTGGAACTCTCCAAGTCATATATAGTACAACCCACATTCTAGAGCATTGACCAAACAATACCAACGCAGAATACTCATAACAACAATAATTAATTTCATGCTGATCAGATTCAATAGATTTTATAAAAAAAATAAAATATCTAATAAATAAACCTCTTACCAACCAAGTCAGAAATCTAAAATACTGAACAATTATTTAAGTAGTCAGATATCTAAAATATGCAACAAATTTTTAAACAATTCAAACATTCTCCTTTAAGATCAGCAACAAATAGATATAATGAAAAATCAACAGAATAAAAAGAAATAATGATATTCAACCGATAACATCAAAGATCAGAGGTAAGAAAATGAAAAAAAGAGAACAAATGTAAACAAAAACAGAGAACTAAACAGTCAAAAGATCAGATCTGGACATACCAGGAGCAGCACCACTGAGACTCACTGCCACAAAAATAAAAATAAAAATTCTTTGTCAGTCCTAAACTCTACACTTGCACATGTAAAATATATGCATAACATCATCTATATATTATTCAGTAGATCTACTTGTTTTAAAAGAAAAAAAAAAAAAAAAAAAATTCAAGAAGATACAAGAAACAATAATATGAGTTTAATGAAAATATTAGATTCCAACTAATTTCTCCAGTAACATTTTTTTTCCCAGCGAAAACATTTTCTCAAGGAAACCACTAGAAACAAACAAAAAATGGGTAAAGAAAATCATGAAAGAGAGTGTAACAAATTTTCTCGGGAAAACATTTTCTCGGAAAGCAAACTAACAGAAACAGGATATAAGAACTCACATCCACAGTTACTGACAGAAGGAGCAGAGACATGGCAAGCAGAGGGAAGAGCTAGGGCTTTGGTGACATTCAAGGTCACACCCAACTGGGCACTGCTCTTGAACGCCTCACAGAGACACTCTGCATCGGCTTTCAACACCGTCTTCAACCCCGAACAACACGAACTCTCTGGCTTCGTCGCGGTACTGCCATTGGTGACATAAGTGAGACAATCGGCCATGCTCAGAACCAAGCTCGAGCAGTCAACAGACGGCGCTGGGGCGTGATGGGTCGTCCCGGATTCAACATTTTGGACGGCCAAGATGGCCAGAACGAAGCAGAGAGCAGTCATCGTCTTCATCGCCATTTTCAGAGATGGGTTTTCAAGAAATGCCTCTAAATTTGGTAGATGAGAAAAGAGAGTTTTAGAGAGAGAGAGGGTTCTAGAATTTGTGGATGATTTGGGGGTGATTTTGGGGGGTTATATATAAAGATATAACGATGAGAGAGAGTGGAGAGAAAGGGCAGAAGAAAATACAAGGGGTTTTGGGGCGGTGTGATTTCTAGAGAGAGAGAAAGGGGAGAAGTGCTTGCTTGTTAGAGCGAGGTGAGGAGGGTGCGCCATGTGCGCACGGAAGTCGGTACCAGTTTAACATGGGCCTACGTGTTGGGCATCTGTGTTCAAGTTTCTCTCAACGATGGAGAGTTTTTTACATATTTTGAATTTTGAAATTAGATTTTCAAATAAAAAAATTGCATATAAAAAATCCCAACTTTTTGTGCTTGCCAAATATTAAATTTTAAATTATTCCAGAGTTATTTAAAATAAAAAATAACCATGATAAACAATTTAATTTATATTTTTCTTTCCTACTCATATGTCATATACATATAAAATATATGGGAGTTTAATGTTGATAAAATACTCAAAGAGTTTGATGTCTAAGCATCCGTCATTGCGTCAAATGCTGACATTTCATATACACTTTCAGATATATGACACTTTATCATCGTGTTCATTATTTAAAAATAAATTTCATTATTTCTAACATTTAGTAAAACAAATACAAAATAACATTATAAACATATATAATAAAGGACAATATTTGTCTACTCGATGCTGAATAAAAAGTTTATACTTATTTTAATATGGTGTAAAATTAATGGAACACGTATCCCTATAATATAAAATAATAAAAATTAAAAAATTTGAGAAGTTATCGTGATTAAACCCCATATGATCAAATCTCTCTCTCCTCCTCTCTCTTAAACAATTTTGGTTTTCTCTTTTTGTTTAGGGAGTGAATGAAAAAGGGATATAGCTGAAAAAAAATAAAATAAAATAAAATAATATTACAAGATACAAACAATCAACCAATCATCTATCGAAATCTGATTTTAATTTTATATAATTGGATGTATTTTAGATAAAAACAATTGTTAGTATATGTAAGGAATACAAATCATGAAAGATAAAAATTAAAACTTCCCGTATTAACATATTAGGGTTTTAGAAAAATAGTTTGAGAGAGAGAAAGATAGGGAGATAGTTAAATTATGATTTACTTTATATCATTTTGGGTTGACTCGATAAACATTCAATTTTTTAAATTTTTATTATTTTTTATTTTATGAATCCTTGTTCCACTAATTTTACGCCACATCATGGGTAAGTATGAACTTCTTTACTCACGGGTGAGTAGATAAGTATTATTTTATAATAAATTACATATTTTTTAACGTATTGATCATACTTTGTACATAAAATTCTATAATTGGATGTAACTTTAAATTTATAAAAAAAGTAGATTAAATATTTTTTTAAATACGAATAAATTTATCTTAAACTCATGCTCTTAACACATCTTTAATTTTACAACCCATCAGCTCATGATTGCATATACTACATGTGTGTGTGTGTGTGTGTGTAAAGAGAGAGATCATATGAGAAGCGTGCATTGAAGAAAGTGGCGGAATTATAGCGAGTGGGTTGAGATGTAGACAAAGAAACTTTAATTTCAATGGCCGTGTAAATGGAATCATATGCGCTGTGGAGAGATTTGATAAGTATAATTGTGGTTTCAAATCTTCTATTTGTGTGATTTTATGCGTAAACTTTTGACCGAAAATTGGCGCTAATCAAGCATTTTGTTTAGTTAAATATTTACTGTAAATTTTAGTAAACATTTGTGGAAAAAGACTTTTATTTTGTGGGCCCATAAATGATGGGCCTCGCTACAACGTGACCCCACTAGGGCTTCATGGTGCTCATGCTCGTGTCGGTTTTATACGGCGCATGATTTTAAAAACCTTTTGTTTGGGTCATCAGTCAATTTGGGTCAATCAAAGTCTAAAGTCTACACCGACCGGACATCATAGTAAAAAAAATATATACATAAATATATATATAAACATCTGTATATATTTATTGAACTGTATTTACTTACCAAAAAAGAAAAGAAAAATCAATTGAATTTAAGAAAAGACCGTATATGTATTGTGTAAAAGTACCTTAAATTTTAAAAAATATAGAATATAAAGATGATAATTTAGTACAAATGTTATTAGGAGGTTAACATGTTGTCATGAGTTCTCTATTTTTTTTTTTTTTTTTTTTCTTGATTCTCGATCATGTAAAAATATTGATGTGCGCATTTAACGATTTGAAAGAGAATTATATGAGGATTATAACGTTAAAATTTTGTACCAAAATTTATTTAAAGTAGATGACACAAATCAATCAAATTTTTACTTTTTTTATTTTAATTTCTCTTGATCAAAATTATTATATTTGACTCTCTCGTCTATTTTTATTTTATGATTTTTGAGTTGTTTTTTTTAATAGTAAGATCACTTTAATATTGAGCCAATTGGCTATGTGCATTATTGTTTTCTAATTTAAAATATACTAATTTAGGAAAGAGCTAATGATATTTGTGTTGAGGTGGACTTACAGTTGCATTACTCAAACTGAGAGAGAAGAGCTGTATAATGTGTATAATTCTTACTTCCTCACATTCTATGAATCAAGGAAAATGATTTTTGTATTGAGTAGTTTCAGTAAATTGTTAAATTTATTTTTTAAATTATTTAATTATATAACAAATAATGAAATAAAATTTTTTATTTAATTATATTTAATATAAATAATTAATTAAAAATTATTTAATTAAATAATTCACTATAAATATTTGATGTGAGTACTCGTGAATCAATGAGTTTGGGATTTTGATACTAAGGTGTCAAATTAGTTGTCGCATTCCATCATTGAATAATGATGTGGGTCAATAACGACTCCTTGATTTTTGGATTTTGATACTAACTCTTGGTATTAGTTGTCCACTTTGTTCATAATTTTTAAGAAAATATACAATTAATGTCTTGTATCTTTTAAAATTAGTAAGCTTTTCTATTTAACTTTAAATATATATAATACGTAATACCCAAGTTAGATAATTTTTGAAAAGTTAAATAATAATTATGAAAGTTTTTTTTTTTATATTGTTTTTTAGACTTTCCAAAATGATACACCTAAAAAACAAAAAAAAACTACTAATATAGGACAAAGGGAGCACCTATTTATTTATTAAATTTATTTTTCCTAAGAATTTTTTTAGAATTTTAAACATAAATATAAATAAATAATTTATTTCCATGTAAAATCGTTTACAAGAAAATATAATTCACAACAAAAATGTGATTTACTTGCAAACAAATAGTCTTCATTATATATATATATGGTGTGCGAGAAGTAAATTTTTTTTCTAATAATTATATTATGATAATATGATAAAATAAAATAAAAATTCCATTTTAATGTTCAAAAGGTTGTTAAACATGTATTCCGAAGTCTACTAGAAGTATAGTTATGTGATATTTATTAAAATTAAAATATTTACATATTTTAAAGTTATAGATACATTTAGGGAGTGTCGAACATATTTGATATAGTCTTATAGACACGATACAAGTACACCCTTGTAAAAGTATATGTGCTTCTTAGATGATAACCTATCTATCTACCCAAATGAGAGGGGAGGGTTTAAGCCCCTATAAGAACACATGGATGCATATGGTTTTTGTCGAGAAAAAAAAAAATCTCAATCTATTACATAAAATATAATGTTGCGTTTGGTGTGCAGGAATGAAATAAAATACAAGTAGGAATGGAATGGAATACAATACAAGTAGGAATTGAATGAAATGGAATGGCCATTCTCATTATATTGTTTGGTTGTCAAAAGCGAAAGTTAAATGATCGAAGTAAATATGAAGTGTGTAGGAATGAAATGATAATAACCATTCTAGTGTTTGGTTGGACAAATTTAAAATTTAGAATGACATAAATTTCAAATTAAGTTCTCTAAAATATCTCTCTTAAAAATAAATAAATTAAATTAACAAAATGACATTCTTCTATAATTTTTTAAAAATAAATGGTGGTAGTGGCAGTGATGGATTGTGGTAGAGGTGGAAAGCGATAATGGTGTAGGAGGTGGTGGTAGAAGGCGACAGCGGTGACAATGGTGGAAGGTGGTGGCAACGATGTTGGTGGAAGGTAGTGGTGGAAGCCTAATGGAGGTGACTGTAGTGGTGGTGGAAGGCAGTGTAGCTGGCGGTGGTGGTGGAAGGTAGTAGAGGTGGTCATGGTGGAAGGTGGTGGCAGTGACGGTGGTGGTAGAAGGCAGTGGAGGTGGCGATGGTGGAAGGTGGTGGTAGAGGACGATGGCGATGGTGGTGGTGAAAGGCGGTGGTGGTGATGGAAGGTAATGACGATGGTGGTGATGAAAGCAGTGGCGGTGGAAGGAGGTAGCAGTGGTGAAAGGCAGTGGTGGCGATGGTAGAAGGTGGTGGTAGTGGCAATGGTGGAAGGAGGTAGCGGTGGTGAAAGGCAGTGGTGGCGATGGTAGAAGGTGGTGGTAGTGGCGATGGTGGAAGGTGGCGGTGGTAGTTGCTGCAAAGGAAGGTGGTGGTAGTGGTGAAAGGCGGCGGTGGTGGTGGAAAGCGGTGGGCGGTGGTGGTTGTGGTGGAAGTTGGTGGTGGTAAAAGGCGGTGGTGGTTGTAGTGGTAGTTTTTTGACTTAGATATGGGGTTTTTTTGAAAAGTTGTTTTTTAAAAAAAATTACTTGGGAATGTAATGGCCATTCAGTTTAGTTGTGGAATGAATTTTCATTTACATGAATGGTCATTCCACTTTAAATTGCGTATCAAACAAATGAATAGTTAGAATAAATATTTCATTCCATTTCATTCCTGCACACTAAATATAGCATAAATTCTTTCATTTTCAAATATATTGATTTACCCTAATGTCACCCCTTGATTTTCAAATCATTATGATATTGAAATGTATTATTTCTTTGATCCACCAACGTTATCACATGTTGATTCTGGAGTCATGGAACTTGTTATGATCACTTTTGGAAAACTAAAAAAGAAAATTGAAAGGCAACACTCTTTAGAAACGCAATTGTGAATGAGTTTGGTAAATGTGGGCATGGGTCCAAATTCAAAAAGTAAACTTGTTGCATTTGCCAGCAAACTGGGCTGAATGTGACATCTAGGAAATGGGAATAGGGACTTTCCAATCACATTGTTATGTGACTTGAGAATGACTGGTTTAAATGGCAAAAATCAATTTCTTAAATT